TTACCCAAAAATCACCCTAAAGTCCTCAAATAATTCACACAAACTTGGGCAGAATATAGTCCTCAAAGCACCGATTTTGCATATTTGATTTCTTTAATAATTAAACCATTAATCTTAAGCACAATAACTTTAATTTACCATAAATCACATATTTTAAGCATTAATTTCTCATGATAAAATGAGAATTATACTTACGCTTAATATACATATATATAGAATTATTCTAATACACGTCACGTTACGGATAAGGGTTTTTATGGGGGTTATATATTTCCTTAAACAAGATACTCTTAAACTTAATTACTTAAATAGGTAGTTTTTGCCAGATAAGCATTAAATTAAAAATAACTAATATGATGTGAAAATTGAAAATATTGAAATGTTTTTCAATATGAATAAAGAAATGTGAGTTATTGTTAAAAAATAATCTAAAACTGTACAAGTTTAATGGTCTTCTCTCTAAACCCTAATTGTCTTCAAAATATAACATTCAAAGTACTCACGAAATTTAAGTGTTAATATATAGTTATTAATCAGATAATGGTTACTCAACTTTTATTCAATCACCATCCATTATTACAATATAAAACAACTAAATCCAACAAATTTCAACTATGATTATTGTAATGAATTATTTGAACGTCGTGTAATGTGTTTTTATTTGATCCGGAATTGTCAATTTTTTTTACAGCATAATGGATGTTAATTTAAAATGTTAATTGAAAACATTTAATTTGATCTTCAATTGTGATGGTCATTTGCGCATAATGAATGTTATTTCTATTCTAGGTTGTTAGTTGATCTTCAAATAGGAATGTCGATAAAACAAAATATGTTTTAGAAATTTAAAAAAATTGGAAATTTGATTTAATTTCTGAAAATTAATTTCCAGAATTGCCTTAATTTTTCAGAATCTGAAGCAATTTTTTTAAAATTGCTGCATTTTTCCAGAATTGCTTCAACTTTCTAGAAATTGATGTAATTTTCTACAACTTCCAAGGATGCTATTTATTTTTGCAAATGTTTCAAGAACCAGTTATATATATTAATTTATTTTTGTTACAATTAAAATCAATTATTTATATTAATTTATTAACAAAAAGATCATATTAGTAGTTATAGTACTAATTAGGATAAGAAAATGGATGATTTCAGAGAGGCAAATTGAAATTAATTAAGGTTATGTTTTTTACTAATTGATTTTTGTAATTTTGAAATTTAAGATTTTTTATGGCACTGGACTCTTTTATTTATTTTCTTTAAACACTTCCTTTAAAAAAAATGATTTAATGGGTTTAAACTAAAATTTTTTTAACATTATTTTATATATAAAAAAGTAGATTTTATAAAATTAATAATTAGATACCACAAGAAAAAATATTGCTTTGGCATCTAACGTATTTTGTTTGGTGATTTAGTGCTTAGGTACCGGTAAAAAGTGCCTGGTTTTGGTAACCAAGTTTAAAAGAATCTTCTTAAAGGAAATAAGTTTTGAAACTATCATTTTTTCTTAAAAAAAACTCATGGTCTATCCACAAACCACTGACAGTTACATTAAATCTGATATGATTTAAAAAATAGAAACAATATATGAAAATCGAATTAAAAATCAATCGCATTAAATTTGATATAATTTAAATGATTTAAAAAAAATAGAAACAATACATGCAAATGGAAAAAAAAAATTATATCACCAACTTTAATATGTAATTGTTGTATATTAAATTAAGTGGACTGAGTAATGAGTGACGGATACTCCTCAAAGGAGGGTAGCCAAATACAGAATCCTTGAAAAACTCCAGTATTTTTTCCACTTATGTATTATTCTGGCTTATTTATTTTAATTTTTTTTTTTAAGAAAATTTCAGCAAACACATTTTCCGAAAAGTCATGAATGAAATCCCTCAAATCAAGATTTGTTAACAGGAAGGTACGCAAGCCGGAAATAAATATCGCCAACATTGAATTAATCCATATATAACTCCAGCCACGAAAATCAATATCACAAAGAAAACACAAAAATAAAAACAAAAAATGGATTTATTACCACCTTTAGATTCACAATTACTGATCGATATCCTTAATTCTGCTTCTTCTTGGCTTAACAACTGAAAAAATAAATGTATAACACACAAGGTCAAACCTCAATAATCTGGTAACTGCATTCAAAATCTTCCACGGAAGCAGGTCAATGGTAAAGAATACTAGCATTTAATTATTGTCCGCTTTTCTTGCCAAAATCTTGTACCCGACATTTATTGTCTTTTGAGGGGATTAACGCCTTAGAAAATTGCATATTTGAAACGTTGATTTTTTTATGTTACCATCCATAATTTGCTGGTTTATAAACCACGACCATCTCCATTTTGTCCATTAAACCCTAACCCTCATTGTATGTTTTTTGTTACAAAATAACCATCGAAGTAAACCAAAAAAAAAAAAAAAAAATGCCAAAGAAACTCCAAAAGTCTCTCCAAGACTACATCTATAGGATCAAAAACCCTACCCAAAATATCCAATTTTCTTCTAGGTCTTTCTCAAATCCGAAGAACTGGATATTAAGAGGCTGCAAACACCCTAAAACACTATCCTTTGCCATTGCTCGTAACCAAAATGAGAGTGGTAATGAAGAAGGAGAGGAGAAGGGTGGCGCAGCAACACTCTCTGATGTCGATCGCTTCCTTTTCGAGAATTTTAGGTCACTTTATATCAATGATCATGATGATGGAAATTTTCACAAGGAAAGTGATCATAGATCTAGAGGAGGTGATCACCCTCGGAGCCATAATGAAATTTTAATTGATTCACCTAGGTATATTGATCCACCACCACTAGACCTTTGCGGCTCCCATCGATTCTTTGTGGCACCGGGCTCGTCATCTGGCTCACTGGTGGAGGAGGCTCGGTCCAGCTTAACTGCCACCTCCGAGAACATGGGTTCAAGTTCAACCTCAACCTCAACCAACACCCTTAATGACGACTCTGCCACAATTGCTTCTAATGATCTAAAGCAGGTTAGGCTACCAGATGACTGCATCGCAGTGCTAACCTACTCTCCGAGTCCCTACGAAGATTTTAAGCGGTCCATGCAAGAAATGGTGGAAGAAAAATTGCAGAATAACGGGAAGGTTGATTGGGATTTCATGGAAGAACTTTTGCTTTGTTACTTGAACTTGAATGAGAAAACGTCACATAAGTTCATCCTCGGTGCTTTCGTAGATCTCATTGTTGGTTTGCGCAAAAATCCGGGCAAAGTTCCGGTCAGATCACGACATTCTCGAATTGCAAGATCAGAGAGGAGGAAGAAATTGAAAAATGTAACGTAAGATTTTAGTTATATTTGTCGGTTTAAGAAAGAATTATTGAACGGCTTGTTCAAGAAAATGAGTCTTCAATTAGACTGTTCTTGGCCTTATTCACCTTAGGCCTCACATGCAATATTTTTATGCCTATACTTTATGTATGAAAGAATATATTAGCAAGAACTTTGTTTATTATTTTAGATTTATATTCTTGTGGGATTTGGTGAGATTTGTGGATTTTTAAATTGGTATTGTCTGTTGCATGTTCCCTCCTAGCTATTACCTTATTATTGTTATTATTCAAATTAACCTTCTTGTTGTTCAAATGTTGTTACATGAAAGATGATAAATTTTTTTGAACTCAAGATTCGAATTTAAAAAATCAAAAACCAAATCCATCTCTTTGATCATTAGGAATTATGATTAAATAGGAATTACGATTAAAGTGATGTTGTATCTAGCTAGGAATTATGTGCTAGAATTATTGTTATTATGATTCAAGCTTCCATATTGTTCAAATGCTAATATATGAGAGATGATAAATTGCTCTGATCCCAAAATAATGTTAAAAAATTCTGATATGCTTTATAATGAATAAATTTCTTAAACGGTTAAAAAAAAAATACCATCATTTTGGAATAGAAGGAATATTTTATTAAATATATATAAGGATAATATCTTCTACCTAAAAACCTATTAATTTATTTTTAAATCTCTCTAATTCAAAACAATATTTTTCTTATCAAAACACTCAATGGTTAGCTTATGTTAAATTAGGGTTAACTATTGAGTACTTTGAATTTAAAAGATTTAAAAATAAATTAATAAGAGTTTTAGATATGAAGTTTTTCTAGCAATTATCTCTTCTTTTTTTCTTCCTACCCAAAACAAAGTAAATTATGGAACCCGTAAATCATGCAATCAATTTTGTATTTGCACATGCACATATAGAAACAATGAAATACTATCCCAATACGAGGAATACGCAGTAGCCAATTAATTAATTTCACAAACATACGCTACATCAGTGCTTAGAATTGGGAAACTCGAAATGATGGGCTTTCATTGGTCTCATGTTGACCTTGACCATAACTGCAATATGATTCGCTGTTCATTTTGGAATATCTATGGAATGACTTTGTATGGCTAATGGGCATAAAAGGTTGTGCTGAGCATAAACCCTGCGAGGTAAACGCAGAGGAAAGAAGATGCAGATGCAGAGGCTTCGCGTGGTACCAACAAAAAGCAAGGGTACCTGCCATGAACGAGGTGCTCTACATGGCTGGCTAGAGCAGGTTTGCTTGCAATTGCCATAAACTGCAGATTTCTGAGACTGATGAGTAAACGGTTACGACATCAATAAGTTAAACCAACGTTAAGGACTTTTTTTTTTTTTTACATGACTTGTGCCACTTCTTCTAAAATCTAATTCAGCATCTGCCCAAAATTAGAGGCTAAAATTTTGTTCTTTTTAAGACGATGGAATTCATCCCAAAAGCTTCTGAATCACCAGAACCATACAACTTTCAATAGCTTGAACCTTTCTTTTAGTTTCTGATCAAGATGGCTCCAATAACTCAACAGGGCCAAATTCTTTGGCAATGGTTACCAGGAACCAACGGTTGAGCAGTGTTTTCTTTTAATCTTCCAATCAATGATTATAAGCGAGGTAGCTGTCGGCATGGGTTTGTTTAGTTTCTAGTCAAAACCCCACTGCAAAGCACGCCACTGTCTCTGATAAGCTGGTTGAAGGGAAGGGTTTTCCTGACCCTGGGCAGCATTCAAACCTATCAAAAATCTCAAAAATTAAAATTTCTCTGCCTGAATAATAATCAATTAGCTGTTTGAATATCCGAGGACATACTTCCATATCATTTTACAACAGAAATAATAAAATACTCAAGACACTTTTATTGTAAACCATTTACACTTACAAAATTCAACTGCGTTCAGGATTTTCAACTTTCTCCAACTGCTTACGCTGCATCATATAAAGTGAAGTAAAAATTCAAGTCACCTTGAACATATGTCAAGCAAGAAGATTTAAAGAATAAACAAAAGTTCTATTGTTGCACTACTCTAGTTTCACTGAGAGACCATTTGAAATTGCACTTCTTTGTTAACCTGCTTGTAGGAAATCAATGCATCTATATAATTGGCAACAATCCATAGTGAGTGGAATTATTCCTTCTCCTTACATGTTAATCACAGTCCATGCACAAAGTTTGCTGTCAGTTTGGAGTGGAATTGCCAATATGAATAAGTAAAACACCGACCAAAGAGCTTGTAACCAAGTGGTAGTGGTTTTTTACAACACGAGGTCACAGGTTCAAATTCCAACAGACTAGTTATGTTAGGAGCTTTAGATGTGTGAGTTAAAAAAAAAAAAAAGGTAAAACACTGTCAAATGTTAAAACAATAAGAAAAGGCAATGCATTGTGCATCTATACTTGGCATAAAAACAAGAAACTAAATCATATATTTACTATAAGACTAATGGCCAAACTAAATTAAATATGAAACCAAGTGGAGTCCCTTATTCTGAATGATTGTGTTATACGCTAAAAGAGTAGAATTACTTACTCTGATTATTGAGTGTGTCATCATTTCCTTCAAGATAATGCTCGTACAAAGAGTGGTACTTTGCAGGAACAAAATCCTTGAATCTGTTAATAATTGACGACAGGAGAGTTAGATCCTGATACTATCCAGAAATTAACAACAAGCAATCTCTTTAACTCCAAAATAAATGAATGACACAATGCATGAAGAGAGAGAGAGAGAGACAGAAGGATGAGAGGCGAAAGAATATCTAGCAGCATTTGTAAATTGTAAGTCAGGCAGAATGGTGATTAAAAAAAAAAAGATACAGAATATCAATAGCTCTCCTAAAACTTTCCAGTTAACAGAATTAGATTTCAAAACAATCTCCACCAAGCCGAGCAACAAGCATAAAAGATGTGAAAGATGCTAGGAGTATATATTTATTTGCTATCAAAATCCTGAGAAATAAGACAGATAAAACTTTATTCCTCAAGAACATTTACTTGATACCTTATTCAACCAGTAAACTGTTACCAGCAGCACAATTACAAGGACTAATTCGAGAAAAGACATTCATGCATCAAGTCCAAAAAATGAGGTAAACTAGATGACGGGCAGCCAAGTGATATAAGATCAATGTGTATGATAGACTTGTGACATGGTCTGTTCATTCCATTAGACTATAGAATCATCGCCCTGGATATTTACAGAAGGAAACAAAAATTTTGGCTCCTTTCTGTACAACCCAAAATGACAAGCTACTGCACGAACAAATAAGTTGAATTTAGACAAGTAAGCCAGATGGATTCTATAGCTAGATACTAGGTACATATTAGCATAGTCACATTCAAGTATAGAACAAAGATTATAATAAAGTAGGTGCATGATATCAACCATGATCAGACATAACATCTCAGTGGCTGATATTTCCAGTGGTGGATAATTGACAAGATAACTTTCCTATGTTGTGATGAGGAATACAATCGATACCATAATTTCTTGTCCAACTTAATTCCTTTCAAAATTAAGAAACTGACCAAGATAATTTTAGACTATAGGAAGGACTTCCTCATTGCTTTATATGTTGTCAAGGAAAATAATGATGAAGAAGAAGAAGAAGAAGAAGAGATCTCGGTGGAGCATTAGTTCAAAATGATTGACTGAAAGCACTTAGTAAATCTGAAATTCAAGATAAGGTAGCTACAAGGGAGTATGATACTAAATTTCTGATAGAACCTAGCATCAAGGTATCAATCAGCACCTAGCCAAATGCTTTTTTAAAAGCACAAGAAGTTAATCAACCAAATTTATTTGTAGCTTCAAGCTCAGTTCCATCTTCAAGCATGATGATCTAAAACGTCATGCAACACACGGTACCTCAGAACTGTAGGGTCAATATCTAACAGGTACAGCCATTTTGATATATGCAAGAAATGAGTAAACAATAAAAATTCAATTGCACTGCAAGTACTAACAATTATACAGAGTTATGTTATTCCCATGATAACCTTATAATAAGATCTTCACAGCATGAAATAGAAAAATCCATATCAAGAGGATCGAGATATACAGCCTAAGTGGATGCTACCAAGCTTAGCTGGTAAAGTCACTTGGCATCACACCAAGCAACCTGGTATTTGATCCCACTAATACCTGGGAGGGGGAGGTTTAACCCAAAACTGAGTAGCCCAGAGAACAATAGACCTCCCAACAAATCAGAAAAAAATAAAAAAAATCAAGCCATCAACTCAAAATTTAGATCTACGGGCTAGTGAGCAACTCTTATGTATAGCTTAGAGGACAATTTATACCTTTTAAGAAGGGGAAACCTCTCTGGTCCAGAAAATAATCTCACAATAGACTGTAGAACGTGGCCTATCTTCATTGCTTTGGACTTCAGTGCCTTCATAAACTCCACAAATTCTTTATATTCCGCAGCACTAAGTTTCTCTTTGACCTGCAAGGCCAAAAAGTTAGTAAGCCATAACAAAAGGTAGCTTTGTGACAATTTGCTAGGAGAAAAATGCAAAAAGAAATGGTAGACAGAAATTTTGTTTTATATTTCCTAATTCAAAACAGAACAAAAAGAAATCAGGAGAAAAAGTATGAAAACTCAAATACATGGTACAGGATAACTCATTCTTATGGGGAAAATTCATTGCTGAGGAAATTTTTTGATCAAGCAGGTAAAATCAAAGTGTTATGAAAAAATGACCGATACACCTTTGATAAGCACTTGTTTTATAAGATCCCATGACATGTTTCAAAAATACCAGACATTTTAATATTGTATTCAATCAATACCACCCACCCTTCCATGCCCCTGTTTTGCTGTCTTTTTTCCAAACTAAGTGAAAATGAAATACACTCAAGAGGCCCTTGAAACGCCCATCTTAACTTTCAACCAAAATAGTAATTGAAGCTTAGCTTAGAAAAGATGATTGCCTTTAAAAGGTTAAAGAAAAAAAAAAAAGCTTAAATATATCAATGCAAAAGGTAATAACAGGAGGCATAGTGATGTTCTGAAGCCAAAAGAACAATTATAAATCTGGAGTAAAGGAAGTGGAGTTGTCACATGGTTGAACATGATCCACTGGACTAGCATGACAGAACAGGCACCAAAAATTCCAGCACAGCTTAAGTTGTTATGACCCACTCTTTTTTTCCCCAACAGTAGGCTATAAGCCTTATAGTACTTCAAAAACCCAAACAGCGAGTCCAGGACTCAAACCAAAGAAAGCCCACTGGGTGGGCCAGTTACACACCGTCCAGCTACAACCCATGGTGTGTGTTCTATTTTTTTCAGCTTTTATTTCAGTTAGAAACTGACCAGGTAGTAGTCTCCTTTCCAGGGAGTATTTGAAGAAGAAAAATGGCAAATTCAGGCCTAGTTAGGTTTTTATGTGTTGAAATCATTTCACCTGAATGAGAAATGCTGATCCTCTTGTTTCTTCATTACCACAAGGCACAGAAGTCGACTGGCCAACTTTGTTTTCTTGAGTGAGAATCTCAGTGTCCTTACGTGTGACTCCATGATCTTTAACTGATAATGTTGAGCTAACTTGAGCATTTTGCTTGCCTCTATTACCAGAAATCTGTGGATTCTCTAGTTTCACCAAACTAGAAAGGGAAAAGGGGTCAATTGATTGTGACCTTTCAGCAACAGATGCATGCTCAAGGGTATTTTCAATCTGCCCTGTTGAATACCCTGCATGAAACACTTTTTGCTTCTTTGCAGAAAATGGCACCAGCTCCTTTCTGCTTTGAATTTCATCCGACGAAGGTTTACCAGTCAAACCAATCATCTCATCTTTTTGTTGTATATTTTTCCTCCCAGGAATTAACATTTTTTTCTCATTATAGATTACAGTGCTCGAATAATTTAATTTGAAATCCTGACTTTCCTTGAAGGGAGTGAGAGAAGAGCGATTGGCAGGAAAAATGTCCTTTGATTGGCATGAACCCTTGCCTCTTTTAGCTTCAAGTAAAGAAGATAATGATTTTGCAGTGGAACCCTGATCCATTGGTGTCCTCTGTAGACATGCATGAGAAAGAAACAGTTCTTAAAAGAACAACAGTCAAAAGATGGTAGGAAATACAAGTATGAGCACATGCTCAGAAAATTATCCTGGATGTACCGGAGAAAGAAAACTGTCCAGGTAAAATTTGTCCAAAGGCTGCGTGGTCTTCACTTCTTTGATATTTTCTGCAGAAGAAACCAAAAGTTGCAGCATCAATCGGTTACTTCAGGAAAAAAAACTGCCTAGTAAAATTTCTAACTCTCCATATATATAAAGAGATGTCTTCCCTCAAACTACTAGTATTTTTTTAGCAGTGTCATTCATGCTGGCCATCATAAGGTCAAGTCATCTCTTATTGTAAGAAGGGAGGGGAAAAGAGCAATCCCTAAGGTCAGAAAAATTGCCAAATATTTTCTACTAAATACAATAAAGGTAGACACAAACAACAACCGTGAAACTCATCATACTGATAAACTAGAAGATACTTTACCAGTGTCTTCACTTTGTATTGATCTAAGCTTTGCAGAGTCACGGCTTCCTCCATCTCGGAAAAAACGACTCAATGTAAAAACCACATCCCCAAATTTGGAGTGACACTGAAAAAGTAGAAACAGTACTTATAACAGCTGTCAATGGAAAGGGTTATTTCACTGACAAAAGGAGAAAGCTATGTAGACCAAAAGGGTTATTCCAAAACCTGCAATACATACCTTGATATGAGGCTGGATCCAAAGTGATATTTGGGACTGGTGATTAGGATGTCCAAACCTGCCCATGATTCAGAAATTGAGTCAACCCTACAAAAATCTAAAGATTAGAAGAATGTCGCTCAGTGCAAATTTCGGAGAAACATTTAGAGAGCCTTAAATTTTACCATAGAATTCTAGAGTTTATGTCCAGCTGCACAGGAATCCCAATTCATTGGGCCCTTTTTTTTAATTATTATTTGAACCAAATTCATCCATTGGGCCTTACAATACAATCAAATAAAACATTTTGAGAATGACTGATACATGCAGAAACAGTTGTAACAAAATATAATCCAAAGTCACCTGAAGGTCAGATGTGTTTGCATTTCAGTGAAGGCAAAACTAACAATAAGTATTTAAGAAAAAACCTTTCATCACAAAAAATAATTGCTCCATAATCATAGCGATGACGAATTACACGTCCAACAGCCTGATTTACAGCCCGTGATGCTTGTTGACTATACCACTCTTCTCCTCTTAGAACCTGCAACTTCAGCATCTAACTGAATTGAGAAAATTGTCGACAATTTTTGGGATATAATTGTCGGAAATAATGTGATGCTGGACATTACCTTGCATCCAACTCTTTGTGAGTGTGTTTGTTCATCTAAGTATTCACGCTTCAAACGAACCTGCCATGCATAATATAATCGGTGATATGAGCTATAATTACAGATAATCATGTTCCAAGCAAAATTCAGTCTAGTTATTATGAAATACACTGGGAATTTTTCTGGCTGCAGTGTAACAAGGATACAAATTGCCTCTTTTTAGGCAGAACACGGTAGCTGTCATGTTTTGAGCAAACAAGGAAACCAAATCCTTTCTTTTTTCTTTTCTTTTCTTTTTTTTTTTTTTCAGGAAACCAATTTTAAGAAATGTGCCCCCAACTTTTCTGCAATTCTCGTGCAGCCTCTCCAAACATTAACTATGAATATATTCCCACCTCAAAAAAAAACTTTACATATCAGCATAAACCTGATTGATTGAGATAGGGAGCCCAAGGCGAAAGTGGAAAACTCATTATGATAACATATGGATTTAAGATATCCAAACTCTCACTTTCTGGTCAAAATAATTATAGCTACAAGAATATTGTAAATGTGAATCATCAATTTTCCTATGCTAGGAAAATATAAAACAAGACGAAGCATGGTATCTAAATTTAAACCAACAATGGCAAAACCAACCAAATAATAAATTGCATCTATCTAATCTCTGACAATCCATAGATCATTAAATTGTGAACCACTAACGATTGTAACTTCATTTCTAGTGATGCTTCAAGAACCAATTAATTCTTTCAGAACTAACAAACACATTAATTCTTTAAGTTCAGCAACTGAAAAGGTAAAACAGATTTAGCAACTATGGGTTTTATGACCCCAAAACTCGTACAAGTAAAATCCCAAGAAAAAGCAGGGTTAATAGGCAAAACCTTAGGATCGGTCCTCATGGCAAAAGGCATACCAGTGATGACAACAGCTCTTCCAGCACGATCAGCAAAATCTAATCCTTCGCTCACCTGAGAACCTAGTGGCAATCAAATATGACAAACAGGTGTGCAACTCTAAAAAAAAAAATCTAGCATGCATCTGGAGTAAAATGTTAATCATGCAAAAGAGGTTATTAAGCAACCAACCAGTTTGTTTAATACAAGAAGAGGTACTTATATTCTTAGCTATGTCAATTTCAGAACTGCAAAATATCTTGGAAAAGAGAAAGATCATGTGACAGAATATCAACATATGTGTCCTGCCCTTGACTGAAACTGCTATATATGAATCCCTCAGATATCCTTTTGATTTATCAAGTAGTAGCAATTACAACCAAATGGTCTGGTAATGTGTCCTATGTATATATGTTATGATGCGCTATTAAAGTATTGGATGCATCTTAAAATGATTATATTGTGTTGGACAGCTTCAAAGACCTAAGGATTAAAAAAAAATCAAAGCAAATTTCTTCCCCTCTTCAGGAGCCAGCATGACATAGAGAAACTTGATTGGGGTAAGAACATCAAAGAAGAGTTGTTTACAAGTCTGACTGAAGGCATACCTTGCCACGACAAACAGCAAAAAATATTGCACCAGAAGTTGAGGTGTCCTTTAATTTAGCCATATAGTCCTGGCCAAAATATATAGACAATCACATATATGGATCCAATAGAACATCTTAATTGCTGCAAGTAGATACAATAAATATGCAAGCACGTTGATCAAACTTGTAGATTGCGTTAGTTACCTCAATTGCCTGAGGAAAGAGCGAGGATTGTCTAGGTTCTACAACAGGTTTCTTATGCTTGCAGATTCTTTCCCATATTGTTGTTGAATTTGCCTGACTCTGCAGCAAATTAGAATGTTTACTGAGATAAAGCTAACATATGTCTATACAAACTCTTATACTTGTATCTGATGCCTTACCATATTCTTCCAGCAACTAATGCATTGGTCCAGAAGGTAGTATGATGGAAAGAATACAAGCAGTCCATCAGGTACTATTCTAGCAAAATTGACTAAAAAATAAAATTCACGAAACACATCAATCACTCAAAATGATAGCAGATGGAAAAAATGAGTTTTGATGATAAATGGTGTTACATACCAATAGCATTGCCAAGCTCCTGTTTGTATTCTGGAGAATCACGAGTTCTATACGATGAGTTTAATGAGCGACCTGATGGGCCAGCTGGTACAACGCCAGCCCATATCTGATTTGAGGATATGACATGAGGGTTTTCCAGCCGCATGGGAAAATCTCTGAGGTGGCAACCAAATTCTCTAGTTAGCATCTTTCTAAAGTCATGTAAGTTTATCGTAAGATACAATCTGCAAAAAGAAACTCACAATTTCAACTCTTGTGCAAAAGAATCCAACGGAGATAATGTTCCTGATGTCAAAATAATAGACCGAACACCCATTCGAGAGAACTCTTCCATGGCAATTCCGGGATTAAAACACCACCAACTGAGCGTTCTAGATGGCTTACCTGCACAATCAAAATAATGGAATATTGAATATATACCCTTGTCCTTATAGCAGGAAGGCGTGTATTCAATTAAAATCCTCAACTGATATCTAAAAACAGTGAATCTCCACAAGAACACACAGAAAATAATTTTACACGAAAACTATGAGTTTGCAATAAGTCTTGAAATATAACATAAGTTAGAAAGACTTTAAAACCAAGAAAATGTAAGGTGCTAACTTTAAATGGAGTTATGCATTGTACATTGGTTGTAATAGATATTTGAAATGAATGTGCCATAATGCTTGTCGACTAAATGTAGTGGCATTATATCTATCGTGCCAAGTTTGATGGAAAAAATTGGTATCTGTCAAGCAATTATCATCTACTGCAATAAAAAAAAGATGGGGAGAATCATGTTTTGGTCCAACCTCTCAGTCCTTCTCTACGGTCTAACAAATAAATTCCCTTTTTTATGCACATCAGTAATGTATCAAATAAGATCATAATGTTGTGGCACTTCCGTTTTTTTATTGAAGTATGTGCAAACTACATGAACTGATAACCCAGCATGTGGAATCAGAGACCCATGATGAGTTTTCCAACAACGTTGTTAATAAAGTACTGCAACCACCAACCCATTGCCTATACTACATTATATAGCCAAACCCCTACGATATGTTGCCAACAGTGGCACTAAGCCACCACTCAACTTCATGATAATTATAGATTCACCAAGATAAGATCTAAACCTAAAATACAAGGCAGTATTGCTCAGTATAAAAGGAAGACAAATTTCTCCCAAGAATTCCCAAGAGTTAATTTTCATACAGAACCTTAAACATCAAACAAGTATGGAATGTGTTGTTTAACTTGGGCATTGCAAGTTTAAGCTGATAAATCAGCAAGTAAATTGAAAGAAAATTTTCAAATGAGAACATAATCAATAAAGCACGATGACATTTTGGCCCAAAAAACAGCACAATTTTGCCTCAGAATACCTTTTAAGACATCTGCAGTATTTGCCTCACCTTCCTGCACATGAACCTAAAAGGAATATAGAAAAAATTTGATTAAAAAAAAAAAAAACAACAGCAATTAGAAAGGGAAACAAGATTGGCAATAAAGCTTCCACTCAAGTTCTTCATGATTCTATGACCAAAATATAAAATTTCAAGCTTACTCTATAGAAATTCGCATGGGAGTTGTTCTTTTCTCTAAAAATTATTTTAAGGATATTACTAATGCTTTCCAGCCTGCAACCAGTGCTTTTTGCCTTGTTCTGCTTATCTTCTTCAAGGAGAACAGCAGCTTCCTCGATTATATCAATGATCTTAGTGGCAGTGTCATGAGAAATATTAAGATCAGCTAGAAGTTCATAAATGTAAGGTCCAGGTTTAGTGAATCCCAATTCCTTGGATTCAATGGGCACTTCAGCAATCCTCTTCTCAAGCTTCAAAAGAAGTGCTGCAACAGTTGAAAATTAGCTCCGAAGAAGTATGGCCATATCGATTACAAGCATAGCAACAAAATTGTAAGAATAGCTGCAAGTATCTCTGGACATGCTATCCTAAACAGCATAGAATGAGGACATTATAGGCATGGAGCAAGTTGAGTTGAGGAAAAAGCAAAAAAGTGCATCTAAGGATAGCAAATGCATTCTGGTAGAATTAAGAAATCAAAGATCAGAATACCTCTGAGAATAGCAAAATTATCTGGATTCCGTGATTTGTCATTTGATTCTTCCCTCCTTGTCACAGAAAGGTCAATACAAGATTTTGCTTCAGAAATGCAAGCTGTTAGAAGCCCAGAAGACAAATCAAAAGAGGCTGCATCTGCACATAAGCTTTCCTGCAATGTATTTGTAATGTATGAGTTTAAACTCATATGACATCAAATGCAAATGACTGTCAGTAAAAATTTTTTTCTGAAACAATAACAAGCATCTATGGTTTTGCTGAATTACACGAAAAATATAATTTCCTGGCCAAAAAAAAAAAAAAAACACCAATTGTTTCTGCTTACCAGGTTATGAGCTTCGTCAAATATCAGTATACTGTTGTCCCAATCAATGGTAAGAGATTTTCGATTTCCACGATCAATAAGATAGTTATAAGGTGCAAATAAAATATCAACAACCTTGTGGAGCTCCCTTGATATGTAGTAAGGGCATCTACAAGTATTAGCAGACAGATTAGTCACAATACCATCAACAGCAATGGCTTTTCAATGTTTTTTTTATAAAAGAGAATACTAAACCTACGGTCCAAATGTTCTTCCAATATTAACCAAATCCTCTATGTCGACAGGCTCGTCTCCAAGGTGGGGATTGTGTTTCACGTAATCTAGAACGTAAGCACAGACATGCAGAAGTCAGATTTTGTCACGATTATAACTGTACGGAAAAAATAAACGCCAAGCCAATGCCATCTCAAACATTTAATAAATTATTCACTCAGCTAAATGCGACCAAATTTGTCATCACCAAAATTTTATCCAGCATTTTTTTTTAATAAAAAACTAGTAGTTAATTATCACCTATGAATTCAACAAATTTTTGCAGCATTTGAAAGATAAGAATAGCCTCTGAAACTCTGAATCCATGCAAGAAGTAGAGGAAACAAAAGTATGGTGGCAAGGGTAGAAATGTAGAAGCATTTAATGTCAAATTGATGCCTTAGTCCCAGGAATAAGCAGATTAAATTTAACTTCATTTAGTGACAAAATTCACGGAAAGGCCAACTATCACTATGAAGAGGAGAGGAAAAGCGAGGCTAAATCAAGGATAAAAGAGAGCATAAGATACTCTACATATAACGGTAGAGTCTCTGTATTGCAAAATACACGAAGATGATAGTAATTCACATTTAGCTGATTGTCAGTCAAAACAAAATGAATGTAAGGATAAATGAACTGTTGCAGCACAGTTTAGAATCTGTGACACTTATTCTCCCTGCACCACCGAAAACTCTTATCCATTAATTTGTTAATTTGTTAATCCAGACTAAGTTTGGGATATAACAGCATAAGTTATTGAGAGACCAAAGTTTTGATTGTGCAATGTTCATCTAAATGGAAAGCCATGCTTTTTCAAGCATTTTGCAGCTGCATTACCAGAATAAAATAATTTTAGATGGATTGAAGCGCAATCGTACAAATGCACAAGGTATAATTACCTGCAACACGAGAATAATGGGTGCATTGGTGCTTTTCCCGGTTTCTACAAATATGATGGCAGGCATTATTCTGTACCTTTCCCCGTAGTAAGCTGACTTCCTTGTGAATGCATAACTGCTCCCGAGATCCTAATATTACCATTTTAGGCCTGCATATTCTTTAAATTTTAGCAAACTGAAATTCTAACCGAACCCAGTAACCAGATCAATTCATTGATCTTGTCATACTAAAAAGATTACTACTACGACATTTATTGCAAAGAAGCCAGATGCCCTTGCCATCATTAAAAAAGAATATGTGAATAATTAACAACAATCCTAAGTATAAAGACATTGACTTCCATCATATTACAGGAAAACAGTTGACGGTAACAGAAAAAAGCGACACATCGAGAAACCAAATGTGATTCCATCCACTATTAATAATTTTGACTGCAAAATAAGTCGATCCAAAAAATGAACTCCAACCTGTAACTGCTCCTCTTCAACTCTTGAATCACTTGCCGAAGCTGGCTGTGCGTGCGTGAAGTATACACTATGGTAGGAAGATTATTATCCTCGGATGATGATGGTAGCACAGTATCCGATTTACCACCAGCAATTTGACTGTTCCTTTCAATCTTACCAGTCGAAAATCCACCTAAACTCTTCCTCCAAGCCAATGTGGCACAAAGAAGACATAGAGTTTTCCCGGTTCCTGTTGGACTCTCCAAAAGTGCATTGCATCTCTGCCATATTTTTAACAAACAGCATAAATTTGTGGTTTTTTTCTTATGCTGACAAATCAATCAATTAAAATAAGTAAATCAAAAGTAGTTTTTTCAATAATCGGACACAAAAGGAGAAAATTTTGCAAGAATTGTACTTCAGTTAGAGAAATAAAAGAGCATAAAAATGAAGGTAGAAAAAAATAAAGCAGCCGTCAATTATAGCTATCGAAATGAAGTAATTTCGCTAATTAGTTTATTTTCGTTATGACAGAGTATTAACAGAATCTAAAAATGGTGATGAGCGGAAAGTTTAAAGCAGCAATGAAACGGCGTCGTATCTGTATTTGAGGACTTACGCTTTGGAGAGACTGTATGACTTTTTCCATGTAAACCAGCTGACAATCGTAAGCCTCGAACGGGAAATCAACATCGATTCCCCTGATCTTGTAGGTCGGCATTTTCCTTTTCCCGGGTCCCTTTGGTTTCTGGGAAAGATTTTAGTTGTTTCTTGGTTCTCTTCCCCCGGGAATGAGATGGTAAGAGCAATAAAACCCTAGAAGGAAAGATTTTCCCGCCATTCCGCTTGTTATTAACCGCTGTCGTTTTTTCTTTTCTACTTTCGGATATAAAAACAATTTGAATATTTATTATATGTATAAAAAAAAAATGGCAAAACAAGGAAATGACAAAATCGTAAGGTTTGGTATTCTTCAAAACATCCTACGTGATGAGGAAATGACAAAGTCGTAGGTTTTAGTGACCTTTAAACCAATATATATAAGCTTGATCTATTAAATTTCTCCTAATAAAAGGCAGAGGTCCTGTAGCCCAAGAGATTGATCAGACCTTGATGGACTAGGATCTTTGTGGTTGGGCTCTGTAGCCGTTTGTTCAGATATGAAGAGCCCGATAATCTTTGGCAATTACATATTTTTATTCCAACCTACAATACAAAGCTATGTTTTCTTTGCTGATTACAAAAAAAGCTCTATGTTTGATTCCCTTCTACGTTCAAGTTAACTTCTAATTTGAATTGCATGAAGCCCTTTCCACCTTTTTGGATAACATTGTTATAACCTCTGTACCAAAGTGTTGAATTATCGCATTAGATGCTTTTTCCATTATTATTTACTTGTGAGGAATAGATACTTTTCCAATTACTTCTCTTGTGATCATTTTTTATTTTTTATTTTTACCGATCAGATATTATAAGATCGTTGATCTTATAATATTCGTAACACAATTTAATGAAATAGAGCATTATCAAAAAAGGAAAAAATAAATAAATAGAAATTGCAATGGAGCACAAATTAAATGATATGCTACTTGAATTAAGAGATTATAAATTTTAAAGAGAGAATAGATGATTATTATTTGCTTTTTTTTAATTGAATTTTAAATATAGAACAGATGATGAGATAAGTAAGCATTTTTATTTTGTTTTATTTTATTTATTTATTTATTTATTTTACAATATCTGCTAATCTTGTCTGACGTGTCAATTCATGTGTAATTTGTTATCAAAATTTCATCCAAGAGAACATATTAAAAAAAATCTACACTAAAGATATCTAATAAACAAATAAAAAATAAAAAGTCCATGTTAATAAAAATTTTCAATAATAAAAAAACCAAACTCGATTAACCATAAATTGTTTGACAGTTTGTTTAAAAATAATATTTTAAATACAAGCACACTAAGCAAAAATGTTTTGTTCTCTTCATTTTTGTTTTTTAAGAACAATTCTAGGCATAAATGTTAAATATTTGTATTTTCATGTATAAAAATAAAGCATTGGAACGAAGACTTTAAATTAACAATAAAAAAAAACTATATTATATTAAATTGCTTCAAGTAAGATGGACATTTTTTATTAAGATATTCAAGATTATTTGAAAAAAGTAACTTAAGAAGTTGAAAATTCTTACATTTGGTGAGTCAGAAAATCTAAATGAGAAGAGTTTAGAAAGTCAAAGCATATTATAGAATGTTAGGTAAAGTTATGAATATCATTCTCTTTTAAACAAGAAGAGTTTAAAATGTCAAAACATTCGATATTTTTCAAAATTTAAATAAATACATTTTATATATTAAGTTGACGAGAATATCCATATTTTAGTTAATAATAACAAAAATCTTCTGCTAGCTAGTATATGTGTATTCGATTTGAAAAGATTCGAATTTGGATAGTTAATATATGAGTTATGGAAATAGATATAAGAGGCCGAAAAAACAGAAAAATAAATCGAAAGCATGCATAAACCGACCAAACCAAGTCCAGATTGATGATGAGAACAGTGAAAGCCCACGACAGCCAGCCCAACAAAGCAAAACAAATTCTACACTAGCATAGCGGCATGCCATGCCATCACAAGAAGTCTACGTAGTAGATGATTCTAGAAGAACAAGAAACATAATTCTAATAAACTCTAGACAGATCTCCATTTCTGATCCGACGGACCATGTCGACTCCACCTAAACTGATCAACCCACATATTATTATTATTATTATTATAAATAAATTTTAGTACATTTATTTTTAGCAACAAATATCAAATTACCTGGTCGATTGGTTTAGATGAAAAATAATTCAACCTAGATTTCAAGTTAATTATTTTTTATCATCAGATTACCTTTTATATTCATGTGAAATTTACATTACCAAATAAATTATGTTATATGTCGTATAAATATAAAAAAAATCACTTCATAAATAAATATATAAGAAGAGTTAATTTGATAAATTTAAAAATCACAAATATTAATTGAACGAATTCAAAAAAAAAATAAAACTAAGGTTAATTAACCAAATAAAAATAAATAATTTACACAAACATAAGAATAAATTTAAGGATTTTGCCTGCCTTTTAAATGTTTAATGTTTTTTATAAGATATTCAAACTTTCAATACATACAGATTGTTTTTCAAAAAAAAAAAAATCAAAATGCATGAAAAAATGCATATGCAATATGAAATAAAAGTACATGGAAACTTCAACAAGTAACAGAAATAAACCCAAGCCAAACCCTTTTGGTTTTTTTTTTTTTTTTGAAAAAAAAAACAGCCTCCTTTGTGGTCTTTTCATCTAACCTCCTCGTTTCGTTTCTTTTCCTATATAACAAAAAGAGAGATTTCTAGAACCACCCATACCCATCCTCTCCCTCTCTCTTCCCACCTCCTCCTTTTTAAGGCACGGTGCGATCTTCCTCTAACCCTAGATTTACCTTAATTCATTATCTTAAATACGCTCTCAACGGCTTTCGTTAATTATCTCTCAAATCTCCGATTTTGTGTTTTCTCTCTTCCTGTTTCTAGACCTTTCTGTAGATCTGTGAGTTTTTTTTTTTTTTTTTTTCTAGATTTAGGGCAAAAGATTTAAAATTTTTTAACTGATTGTAGAGTTTTGTTGTTGATCGTGCCTTTCTCTGTTAGATTCAGTTGATTATTGCTTGTTTTTTCCTTTATTTTTTGTGTTGTATTAGGTTAATAATGACAACAGCAATAAAATATTATGGTGTTAATTAGCTTGTTGGTTCAACAATTACATATCGAAGTTTGTGCTGTCCAGCTTATTTTCTGTATAATTGCATTCATTAGTAATTGAATTTTGTTTTTTTTTTAATGGATTTCTGGGTTTAAGGGTTTTGCCGGCAGTGACTCGTGTGCACTGTGGGAAGTTTTTTAGCTTTCTTTCTACCTTTGGTCTGTTTTAGCTGTGTGCTTTCCTTTTATGTTCTCTCTTTCATGTAAAATACAGAAAAATATGAATCTTGTGCCTTTTCTGGGTCTTTTCCTGGGTTCATTGTGAGGCGTTTTACTCTGATTCTAAGATTGTTTGGATGGTTACTACTGATTCATGTATTGCTTAATGGTTTATGATATCTCTGCTATTACTTTCATTAGTGGCATTGGATTTGATTCGTGACTTTTTTCTGCAGGTTGCCACCTAACTTATAGGGCCAACCGATTTATAAATCGGTAACTGTTTTTGGTAATCATGAGTGTGGTTGGTTTTGATTTGGGTAATGAGAACTGCCTTGTTGCTGTTGCCAGACAGAGAGGGATAGATGTTGTGCTTAACGATGAATCGAAGCGTGAGACTCCTGCTATTGTATGTTTTGGTGACAAGCAGCGGTTCATTGGTACTGCAGGGGCTGCCTCGACTATGATGAATCCCAAAAATTCTATTTCCCAGATTAAGCGGTTAATTGGCCGCCCATTTTCTGATCCCGAATTGCAAAGGGATCTGAAGTCATTGCCTTTTACTGTCAGTGAAGGTCCTGATGGATTTCCTTTAATTCATGCACGGTATTTGGGTGAGATGAGGACATTCACACCTACCCAAGTCTTGGGAATGGTGTTGTCTGATTTGAAAATCATAGCTGAGAAAAATCTGAATGCTGCAGTGGTGGATTGCTGCATTGGTATTCCTGTATATTTCAATGATCTTCAAAGGAGGGCTGTTTTGGATGCAGCTACAATTGCTGGATTGCATCCTCTCCGTTTGATGCATGAGACCACAGCTACAGCTCTGGCTTATGGTATTTATAAGACCGATTTGCCTGAGAATGACCAGTTGAATGTTGCTTTTGTTGATGTTGGACATGCAAGCATGCAAGTGTGCATTGCTGGATTTAAGAAAGGTCAGCTTAAGATCTTGGCTCATTCATTTGATCGGTGCTTGGGTGGTAGAGATTTTGATGAAGCTTTGTTCCAACACTTTGCCTCCAAGTTCAAGGCAGAGTATCACATTGATGTTTTTCAGAATGCGAGAGCGTGCCTTAGGCTTAGGGCTGCTTGTGAGAAGCTGAAGAAGGTTCTTAGTGCCAACCCTGAGGCTCCTCTTAATATTGAATGCTTAATGGACGAGAAGGATGTTAGAGGCTTCATTAAGAGGGAAGAGTTTGAACAAATTAGTATTCCGATATTGGAACGTGTAAAGAGGCCTTTGGAGAAGGCACTTAATGATGCTGGACTTGCTGTTGAGAATGTTCATACCGTTGAAGTGGTTGGCTCTGCTTCTCGTGTACCTGCCATGATGAAGATTTTGACTGAGTTCTTTGGAAAGGAGCCTAGGCGTACAATGAATGCCAGTGAGTGTGTCTCCAGAGGCTGTGCATTGGAGTGTGCTATTCTGAGTCCCACTTTCAAAGTGCGCGAGTTCCAGGTACAATCCTCGTAACTTCTTTGCTATTAGTGTTATTTTTATGGTATGATGTTTTTAGCGATATCTTTCCTAACATGATCATAGGAGCTATGACTTTGGCATGTTTTGTCTTCTTGCAGTTGATGCTATGATCATTGGATCATATTTTTTATTCACTTTGGCATGTTAGTCTTTCAATTGTTAAGATGCTCAAAAACAAAAGGAAATTAAATTTGAAAGGCTAGGACTGCTGCTGTTTTAAGACCTTGTATGCTATATAATTTGTTTAATGAAAGATGAATAGTTAAAAGGAATAGCTTGTGATTCTTTTTTTCATTGTTCACAACCTTTCTTGTAGGGTGCCAGGTGCCAGACATGAGCTCTATAATGCTTTTACATGTTTAGAGAATAAAACCCAGAATAAAAATGATAAAATTGAAAGGAAAAAAGAGAAAATATTAAGTAGCTGCTCTTTTTAAGTTGATCAGCAGGTGTGTATCTCAACATTTAGTAGCCTTCTTCTATTCTCAATCTTTTGCACATTATTAAATGAAAGTGGTCCATTGTGGACAATAATTGCTAATTTATTAGTGTAATTAGTCCCATAGGTCTGCACATGTAATGTCTGTGCTTGAGCTCAGGTGTATGTACATTTGTAGCTTTTCTGGTTATATCTTTAGTTTTTTGGTCTTCTTATGAAGTTTTGTATCACTGTTCATTCCTGTAGGATGTTAAGTTTGTGAGTCATCAGAGTATCTTAGATGCATTCTATAAGTTATCGTAGATACTGCTGTCATTATGGCTTCGAAATGTAGACGTGCTTATGACCTTATGTCATTTTATACTCTTCTGTTTGCCTATGTTTTGTTTCTCAGCAATCAAAATTCTATTGGATACATTGCATGAATTGTTGATTGTTCCTCCTCCAGGTCCATGAATACTTCCCATTTTCAATTGCTGTATCATGGAAAGGTGCGGCTCCAGATTCTCAGAATGGAACAGCAGATAATCAACAATGCACTATTGTCTTCCCCAAGGGAAATCCCATTCCTAGTATCAAGGCTTTGACATTCTATAGGTCAGGGACGTTCTCCATTGATGTACAATATACTGATGTCAGTGAATTGCAGGCGTCAGTTAAGATCAGCACTTACACGGTATGAAGTCAGCATGCAGTATCAACAACTCACATTTTTAATTTACATACAATCCACAATTGAGATTTTATTGTTATCTATTTTGACATTTTAATGTTAGTTCTTTGTCATATGAACTTAACTTGCAGATTGGTCCTTTCCAATCTACAAAAAGCGAACGTGCAAAAGTGAAGGTGAAAGTCCGCTTGAATCTGCATGGGATTGTGTCTGTTGAATCAGCAACAGTAAGTCTTAAAAAGAGTTTTGTGATTCTCATTGTAGTTTATTAACAGTAATATATGTACCACTCTTAATTGTTTGACTCTTATATCAGCTTTTGGAGGAAGAAGAGGTTGAAGTTCCTGTCACAAAAGAGCCAGCAAAGGAACCTGCCAAGATGGATACCGATGAAGTTCCCAGTGAGGCTGCCACCACTGGCCCTAATGAAGCAGATGCCAATATGGATGATGCAAAAGCAGGCGCTGATGCTTCTGGGGTTGAAAATGGAGTTCCTGAGTCGGACAAGCCAACGCAAATGGAAACTGATACCAAGGTCAGTTAGCCCCTAGAATTTAGGATGTATATGATCTCTTACATTAGATTTCAGTTGTGCTGCTGTCAGAAGCTTGGAGAATATCTTTTCCTTTTGATACACGCACTGTTAAACACATGTTTCTTTTATAACTTTTCCTTGGCTTCAGGTTGAGGCTCCCAAGAAAAAGTAAAGAAAACGAACATCCCTGTGTCAGAGGTGGTTTATGGTGGAATGCTGGCAACAGAAGTGCAAAAATTACTAGAAAAAGAATTCGAAATGGCATTGCAAGACCGAGTTATGGAGGAAACTAAAGAAAAGAAAAATGCTGTCGAATCTTATGTCTACGACATGAGGAATAAGGTAGAGTTTAATCTTTACTCTATTGCACGGCTTTTTGGCAGCCTTCAGAAAGTGACATCTTAACAATGCTTTTGTATTTTCAGTTAAGTGACAAATACCAGGACTTTGTCACTGACCCAGAGAGGGAGGGATTCACAGCCACACTGCAGGAGACAGAGGATTGGTTGTATGAAGATGGTGAAGATGAAACCAAAGGTGTCTACATTGCCAAGCTTGAGGAACTCAAGAAAGTAAGGACTCCTCTTCTTCCGAATGTTTCGTGTTTTTGTCTACTTCTCCTTATCCTGTGAAAATGGGGTGGTTGGTCATTGCTCAGGCATGTCTAATGGTGTTAATGGTTGCAGCAAGGTGATCCTATTGAAGAGCGGTACAAGGAGTACACTGAGAGGGGATCTGTGATCGACCAACTTGTTTATTGTGTTAATAGTTATAGAGAGGCAGCAATGTCTAATGATTCTAAATTTGATCACATTGATTTGGCTGAAAAACAGAAGGTAAAGGCTTGTTAGATTTGTTATGTGGTTATTTGCTGTCGTGGAAGTCTTAACTGAAACCATTATCTTGGCATGTGATAGGTCTTGAATGAGTGTGTTGAAGCTGAAGCCTGGTTAAGAGAGAAGAAGCAACAACAGGATTCGCTTCCCAAATATGCCACTCCAGTTCTTCTGTCAGCTGATGTGAGAAAGAAGGCCGAGGCACTTGATAGGTATTGTTTCTTGTTTTTTCTTCACGATTTTTGTTTCTGTTTAGTTCTCTAAGCTTTGATGTAGGGAATGTTTCCGACACTCAAGATCCAGCTGCTTTTCCTCTCCTATTTAGGATAAGATTTTGGTCAGCATTAAGAGGAGAACATTTGCATCTGCAGGTTTTGCAGGCCTATAATGACGAAACCCAAACCAGCCAAACCAGCCACTCCTGAGACACCAGCAACTCCACCACCTCAGGGTAGTGAGCAGCAACAGCAGGGAGGAGATGCGAATGCAGATCCTAATGCTAATGCCGGTGCCAATGAGACTGCAGGAACTGCCAGTGGTGAGGTGCCACCTGCTTCTGGAGAACCAATGGAGACTGACAAGTCGGAGACTGCATAATTCACCCCAGCTACAGAACCTGTCATTTTAAATTAAGAAATTTGGTTCCTCTGTATCAGCACTTTTAAGGAGCCTGAGACGAACACTTTCGTGGGCTGACATTATGTGAGCATTTGGGGTCTTTGATGTTTCTTTCCTTTTCATTTGTAAAGCCCCCCTTCCATTAGCTTGTCTACCAAATTTTATATTGTGAGCTAGTCTATAGAATCCGGTTTTAAAAAAGGGGTTTTTAAGAGAAAGGTGAAGTACTTTAAAGGTCTTTTTTTCCTGGCATTTGTTGGGGAGAGATCTAAGTTTACTCTGTTTTGAGGGTCAGTGTTTTAAGTGTCCCCTATTTTTTTTCGTCTGTAGGATATCCTCAGCATCAAATATTGGCATGTTTTCACATTTTCTTTAATTTAAATTTTCAAGTCTTTTGCTTTGCCTGCAAAGCAATATGCCTGCTTGATTCTATTTGATCTTGATTCTTGATCCCAAATTTTTCTAGATTCTTGGTATCCAAGTTGATGCTCAAAAGACAGGAGGATGCTTTGAACACGATGAAGCTCGTGATAACTAGTATGATACTGAAACTACGAGACAGTGAAGATGTAACCTCGCTGTTGGCAGTTGATGTGAAAATAAACTCGTCTCCGTTTAATAGGTGTTGGATGTACTGATTTGTTCATCTCTTTTTATCCTTGAAATGTATCCGGTCGATGGAGATTCGCTCGAGAAATGTTATAACAGGATAAATCGTTTAAGTTCGGTAAATTGTGTTGACCAAATGATTGATGGTGATCTGCCACGCAATTTGAATAAACCAAGCCGCATTGAAGAGTGCAGACAATTGGAAAGCGCTTAGAAGAGTTGTGCCAAAGCATTAATAATTTTCGACAACATATTGAATAATCTACCAAGCGATACGTTGAGCAACCTTCCAAGGTACACATTGCATTCAAAGAAAGCACATTGATTTTACATTTTGGATTGAAGAGATAACCTCTAATCTTATTCAATCGCGGCCATGCCTGGGTTATGATATACTCACTTCAGACTTTTTAAAGATATCAAAAACCGTACTCTGTGGCAGAAGATGTTCTACCAAAAATAACGGTTTGACATACCCTACAGCAAATATTTAATGTATAATGTTTTCATTCTTTATCCTCTAGTGTTGCCTACTACGCTTTAAGGTCTGACATTCCAACTCAATATTTCAATTTTTTTTTCTGCGCATTTGTGGAACTCGCTTTAATTGTATGCATATACTAGCTGAACGGTAAAGCAATTTCTCCAGTAAACTAATTTCCTTTCATTACACTTAACCTATTAAAAAAAAAATCACAAGTACATTGCACCTCGGACGACTGACTAAACAGCACCACTTTACTTCAAAACTTTTTGCCGATGATTAATCGCAAGGAGGAAAACAGAATTGAATCTAAAGGAGCGCCCTAGTCTTAGGGAAACTTCCTTCAAGACATTGACTCAGTTCAGACGAGAAAATGGCTACAAATACGAACTATCCAGCCCGAATCGTCAGTGACTCATTTTCCAGTCAAAATTTCTACAGCCCATCTCATAGCATGAAGACACATTTTCTTTACCTCCAACTTGTCCTCCTTAGCCCGATGATTAGGGGGAAGCAGACGGAATTCCTCTGTCAAACGTATGCATTCGCCAATATTTTCAGGTGATACAAAGTCCAAAGCTACCTTAATGCATGATTTCAAGTTCCTCACTTGATGGGGACAGCCTGCAGGAATGAAGACAGCATCCCCAAGTTTCTGGACAAATGTCCATGGTTCAATTCCATATTCTTCTTTTAGCTTCCTCTTGTGCTCTAGAGTCAGATAAAAGGTCTGGTCGTGTATGGGGTGGACAACATTCTGTAATGGGCAACAATGGGTGTGCCTAAATTCCTTGAAGTGCTTGTAAAGATATGCTTGCAACTTAGGAACATCTTCTCTCCGGAAAATGTCCCAAACAGCACCTTCATCTAAAGCAGTTTGCTCTTTGGACTCATTTCCGCAATTCAATGATGGCCCACTCTCTGTGATCTTGCCATTAACAACTTCTGCCTCTTTACTACATTTACCATGATTGTCATTGCCACCTTCAACCATGTCTTGACTTCTAAAAAGTTCCCTTTGGTCTTGTTGTATGTGCTTCTGTTTCAACTTTTGTATATCAGCAAGTTGTTCGGCTGAATAGGTCACTTCAGCAGTATGTGTTAAAACATTCACTGCATCAGACATGTCACAATGAAGCTTGGTTACAGAATCTCCACGCCCAAGCTCTTCACAAAATCCATAAGCAATATACGTCTTTGGCCCCATATCCGGTTTCAACGAGCCCTCAGGCAATCTGACAGCAAGGTTCAGAGGTCCACTGAGAGGATGTGTATACTCCTTAAAGGGCAAACAGCAGGTAAACTCAGCATCATGTCGTGGCAAACTTTCACCAAATGCATTAGATGGGGGCCAATCTTTCAGCTTCAGTATCTGAGGCCACATTTTTTTATCAAACCTACCATGTGTGTATCCCTTAAAGAATTGGTGGACATTAATATCCACCTCACACCAATCCAAACAGTCAATAGCTTTTACATTCAAAAATGTGGCATGCTTTTCATTTTTGACCTGGCGGAAGGCACGCCACATGACCATTGGCTCCCAGCTTAACCCGGATGCAGTTTCAAGCACATTGCTAACAATCACAGGCTCAGCTCTCATCCAATGGAGCTGGAAATGCTTCAAATCATCCTCTTTGATATCTTTGGCTTCTGGATAGAATAGATAATTGTCATCAGAATCTTCTCGGAATGCAGCTTTTAATAACTTATCATTGCCGATGTTGACATCACCAGTGGAATTAAAGCAGGCACATCTTTCAACAGAAGCAATAGTGTAGTCAATTTTATAATTTTTGCCAGCATCTTCGACTTTCTTTACCAGTTCTGAAACTGAAAGAGAGCCAGCATCTCCTGCGGTTGGGAACAAACATTTTAGTTCTAGAGTGCCACAACAAGAAGCACAGAGAATGCTTCCATCTTCATCTGCTTTCCACTCAGACTTCGAGCTCGTACCATCCTCGAAGCCAGTCTTTTGAGGTAACTCTGTAGGTGATGCTTCAGTTTTCCCCTTTCCACCATGCAAATAGTCAGATCCTCTGTTAACGAACTCCATAACCACATCTGCCCCACCACCCTGCAAGTTTCCCGCTCGAATCTCCCGGCAGCAGACAAGACAGAGATCAATTGAGCACTTTGAACAACTCCTGTGATAATCAAAAATAGAAGTTCTACAATGATCACAAAACATACGCTCATCTGCTGGGCATTCAGCATTTCCTATCTCTAACTCTGCCACCGACAGATCTCTTACCCTAGCCTCAATCTTTCTCTCTAACATCTGTTCTTCATCCAACTGTTTCAAAAATGGAACAAGAGCACGCAACAAATACTTCGCATACCACAGTTCTTCTTTTGTGCTTACTTTCAAGTTTAGATTCTTAAAGCCTTTTATGGGTGCATCTAAACGCAAACAAGACTTACAGTTGCAATTCCCAAGACAAACCGGACAAGCATCAGCAATATCATCCTCAGCCATCTTAGGATACCATTTGGTTAAGCAAGGGATGCAATAACGCTTGGTTTTGCATTTCAGGCACCGGACAACACGCCCATTGTCATTCCTCTGACATTGATGACACATTAAACACACCTCCTCAGTATAGTGTTGTTTAGTATGCTTTTGCCTTCCAATATCTTGCACCAAGAGCTTCCGATTCCTGAGCATTTTCAAAGATTCCCCTTCTCCTTTTCCTTCTCCCTCATCATTCCCCTTATCCCTCTCCTCATTTCCCCCTCTTCTACTACTACCTTTCTCTTTCTTTCCATCTCCCTTATCATCACTTTCATCACTCTGGGCAGCAACGCTCTTCTTTCCACTCTTCCGATCAGGTTTGACCTCTTCATCCAATAATTCATCAAACACAGCACAGTCCACCTTTATCTTAACATTCCTCCGTCTCCTCTTTGGTGAATTACCACCTCCATTCTCCTCTTCATTATTTCTCCCTCTAATTGCCTTCCCTTTCTTGATTATCACATCTTTCTCTCCCTCTTTCTCATCGTTTTCACCTAAATCCTTCGCTTTCCTTTCAATCCCTTTCGATTCCTCCGCCGGGTCACCATTCTCCGTGTCAGCCAAACCCAAACCTCGCTTCCGATTTCTAAGTGGCGCCATTCGCAAAACCCACCAAATTACAAGAAAACAGATACAACAAAAAAATAACAGAGACGAAAATGCTACACAAGCTATATGGTTTTCTTTGTGTTTTTTTTTTTCCCTCTCTTTTTTCTTCTTCTCCGATTGGAAATTTGGACCTGCGCACGCCTCTTTCTTCTCTATCCCTTTGCTTCACAACAACATTTTGTTTTAGGGCAAAAATAATGGGCTTTTTCTATTCATTTAGGAAGGCCCAAAACCAAAATTAACTCTTAAAACGTAGTCCAAATAAGCCCAACCCAGTTATGAAAACCTATATCCCTGCCTCCATACGCCGGTGTTCATTTTCTCTCCTCCGCCCGGCAACGGTGAGTCTTCCTTTTTGCTCTCACCCACTCTAATAGTAAATGGAGCAATGTCTTATCTCTTGGTGAACCAGTTAAGAGTCCCAAATGGCTAAAATGGTGGTCTTAAGACACATTGCTTTAAAGAGATCCATATCAACTTTTCCTTCTCTCTCTCAGAGAATTAAACAAACAGGTACCGTTCATCTTTCCGTATTCCACTCTTCTTCTTAAAAACCAACAAAGTATCAACTCTTTATTTACTTAATTTTGTTGAATTGTATTTGTTAGCAGAAAATGAAATAGTTGAAATGTTCAAGGTACCTAGTTCAAAGGATGAAGGGCAACACTTGCCGATGAATAGGAACTTGTCGAGGAAAGACCCTTCGGTTAGGACATTAGATGAGAGGTTTATAAGGATTTTGAAGATATTTAAGTGGGGAACTGATGCTGAAAAGGCTTTGGAAGTGCTCAAGTTGAAAGTGGATCATCGGTTGGTTCGTGAGGTTTTGAAGATAGATGTTGAGATTAATGTTAAGATTCAGTTTTTCAAGTGGGCTGGCAAGAGGAGAAATTTTGAGCACGATTCATCTACTTATATGCCTTTAATCTGTTGCTTGGATGAATGTGGGTTATATGGTGAAATGTGGAAGATGATCCAAGAAATGGTCAGGAGCCCGACGTGTGTCATTGGTCCGGCTGATTTGTCTGAAGTTGTGAAGATATTGGGCAAGGCCAAGATGGTGAATAAGGCACTTTCTGTCTTTTACCAGATAAAGAGTCGCAAGTGCAAACCAACGACAAGCACCTACAACTCTATGATTTTGATGTTGATGCAAGAAGGGCATCATGAAAAGATTCACGAGCTTTACAATGAGATGTGTAAAGAGGGCAACTGTTTTCCAGACACCGTGACATATAGTGTGCTTATTTCGGTGTTTGGGAAATTGGGCCGTGATGATTATGCTATAAGGTTGTTTGACGAGCTGAAGGAGAATGGCTTACATCCAACTGCAAAGATTTATACTACCTTGTTGACAATTTACTTCAAGTCGGGTATGGTTGAGAAAGCTTTAGGTTTGGTGCAAGAGATGAAAGATAAGGGCTGTGCACCTACTGTCTTCACTTACACTGAGTTGATTAGGGGACTAGGAAAAGCTGGGAGGGTTGAAGATGCTTACAGTGTATTCTTGAATATGTTGAAGGAGGGTTGTAAGCCCGATGTTGTGCTGATAAACAATTTGGTTAACATTTTTGGAAAAGCAGGTCGCTTGGAAGATGCACTTAAGCTTTTTGACCAGATGAGGGCTTGGCAGTGTATGCCAAATGTGGTTACATACAACACTGTAATTAAGGCTTTATTTGAATCCAAAGCTCCAGCTTCTGAGGCTGCTTCATGGTTCGAGAAGATGAAGGCAAATGGTGTTACTCCCAGTTCATTTACTTACTCAATTCTTATTGATGGTTTTTGCAAAACAAATAGAGTTGAGAAAGCTTTGTCGCTTCTTGAAGAGATGGATGAAAAGGGTTTTCCTCCATGTCCTGCTGCCTATTGCAGCCTTATCAACTCCCTTGGAAAGGCAAAACGATATGAAGCTGCAGTTGAGTTATTTCTGGAGTTGAAAGAGAATTGTGGACGTTCAAGTGCTCGTGTATATGCTGTGATGATCAAGCATTTTGGAAAGTGTGGCCGTCTGAGTGAGGCTGTGGATCTTTTCAACGAGATGAAGAAAATTGGATGCAATCCTGATGTTTATGCTTACAATGCACTCATGTCAGCATTGGTAAGGGCTGGCATGATAGCCGAAGCTTATTCTACGCTTAGAACCATGGAAGAAAATGGTTGCACTCCAGACATAAACTCACATAACATTATTCTAAACGGCCTGGCTAGGACAGGTCGCCCAGAACAGGCAACTGAAATGTTTACGAAGATGAAAGATTCATTGATCAAGCCAGATGCCGTGTCTTATAACACCATTCTTGGCTGTCTGAGCCGCTCTGGCATGTTTGAGGAGGCTGCAAAACTGATGAGAGAGATGGGTTCAAGAGGATTTGAATATGATCACATCACTTACTCATCAATTCTTGAGGCGGTTGGTAAGGTTGATGAAGATTGTGAACCCAAGTTTCCTTGAAAGAGACCTGTTATTGTCTACAGATCCATTCCCTTATTAGTACTGCTAATTTGTTATGATATTTTTATACATATTACATGTGTATTATAATGGTAGTTTGACTGGATTCATTTATTAGCTTGAAGGTTTACTTTGTTGATGTAGCATGAACGCTCCCTCAGGGAAGCATAAGCATCAATTTTCTTTACTTGTCCTTTTCTTTTGGATACTATGAGGATGCTGCAATACCAGAATACTTTTATGCAGCGGCAAATTCTTTGGGAAAAAGGGACTTCTGAATAAAAAATCATACTAGATTCATCTCATTATGATTGCAAATGAATCAATGTGAAGTATTGCTCAAGGGGAAGGGGGAAAGATGGCCAGATACCATTTTTTAGGGCTTGCATTTTGGTTATTGACACTGCGCTTGAAATTAAAATCTGTTATGCTAACTTAAAGAAATTCTATAAAGACCATTGGGCTAATACTTATTCTTGATCGAAATTGGGGAAGCATAAAAAGAGAGAAAATCTTAGAACCAATCACAGAAACAAAATATGCCTATCTTAAAACTCTATTTCCTGTACTCTTGAAGCTCGTGGAGCCACAGAGGCTGACTGTTTAGCTCTTTTTTTGTTTTGGGTAGGACTCTATACTTTTTGCCAATTAGTCAAAAGAACACTAACTAAACGATAAGAAAGTCACTTCCCTGAAATGGTGCTGTAACACATACAACCCTCTGTCTTGAGTGCATTTAAAACGCTTGACAGCTACACGTACCTTAATCAATTAAAGCAAAGAGTTGATTGAGCCATTTTTTCCTACTTTTCTTTCTTTACTTACCTGAGAAAAGGACAAAGTAAAAGGAAAAATAGCTCATTTCCTTAGAGGAGAGGTGAAGCAGCTTTAATCAGTTGATTTGTAGTATTTTGGAACCATGCCTCAGGCATCTGATGACATATAGCCTTGCATGATTAAATTGTGTTGTGAAAGACCTCCTGAAACAGTTGATCCGTTTTTTGCCATCATCATACGTGCCATATGGCCTTGCGTGATTAAATTGTGATGTGAATACTTCCTGGAGCAGTTTCTGTTTTTGACCATAATCATCTGTTGTACTTCTTGAGTGCATTCCAACCGCAAGACATGGTTCTTACAATTGCAATGAAAATCAATAGCGCAACATTATTTTCAACGCTTATTTTCATGTATAAAATGTGTTATAGAGGCCCACTAAGCTCCAATAACAGATTCACAGTCAGCGTTCTTCATAACAGCTGAGTACCTGCAATGTCATTCAAATACGACTTCATGGAAATTTTGTTTGTTGCAAAGTGGAAGAGGAACAAAACTCTTCACCTTCCTTGAGGAAGTGGCTACGTGCTCCTTGCTGCTGCACTAAATGATTGACCCTTGCTCTCTTGCTCTGTTTTCTGCATTGTCTTGCAGGATGAGTTAAAGAGATCACAAATTGGGTCATTCAATTGACATTCTTTATGGTAATAGGTCCTTTGGGTTCGTTCGCCTAGTCTTTGGAGGAATCCAATCTTCACCGAGTTGACCAGCTTAAGGACATATATTCTCCCCCTTTCAACAGAGTGTTTACCTTTTCTTTTATTGCATCTTTCTCAACAAATTCCGGTTTTTTTTATTTTTTTCTTTGTTCTTTTTGTGATTTCATTTCAGGTGGTGTTTGTTTTTCTTGAAATATTTTTTATTTTGATGCTTAGATTTGATCATTGTGTTAAAGCAATAACACTAATAAACGGCGACATGCTTTTCAGATTTTATTAAGAGGTAATCAATAAGCACGAAGCAAATTTCGTTCAAATGCAGCTTATTTGAAGAATGATAATTTGAAGCATGCATTAATTATGATTTATGGCTTTTACTGCTTTCACGGATTTCTTTACAAGGGATTTTGGGTATTGAGGCATGTGATTTATGCATAAGCTGACGACTTATGTCGCACAGTTATATTTGACAGTTTGCTTGGGTTGTGCATGCCAATATAGTGGAATTTGAATGGCTTGCGTCCATAAAAAAGAAAGAAATTTTAATTTATGTTGATGTTGATTGCATACTATCTGGGTGTTATTTTAGATTCAGGGTGATCCATGTTTCATTTAATTCTGTTTGTGAGATTGTTTGTTGATGGATTATAGTAATCAATCCATCAACAATGACTTATGGTGATCATGTTCTTCTCTCATTGCTTCAATTATTCTGTAGTCCATTTTGATTCATAATTGCTTTATGCAGGTTGCCCCTTGCTTTGTTAGGACCACCAGTTTATCAAATACATCGATGAACTTTACAAAGCATGAGTGTGGTTGGTTTTGATTTGGTCTGAGAACTGCACTGTTGCTGCTACTAGGCAAAGTGGCATTAACAATGAATCAAAGCATGAAACTTCTGCTCTTGCTTGTTTTGGCAGCAAGAAATCGTTTCTTCTCAAGCTTTGTTCTTGAATGGCTTGCGTTAGTATATGATTATGTGTATAAATTCTGGTCATTCGGTTGTCTCTCAGCTGATCTGCTCCAATATGGCTACGAGTCTGTTCAATGTAATAACCGTAGAATGTTGCTACCATATGTTTTGCAGGCCGGTAATGAGTAAGGAAAACAGCTTTACTGAAACACCGTCAACAAATCAACACTGTCTCCGCAAGGAAATGAATAGCAAGAAGAGGCTGCAGACGCCAAGAAAAATACCAATGGTAACGCTAGTGCTAATTAGAATGCCAGAGTTGGCGGTGGTGCAGTTCCACCAGTTTCTACAAAACCAGTAATGGGACTGAGAAGTCAAAGGCTACCTCGAGTGCTGCATAAAACGAAGCAACAGTAGAGCTGGGAATCTTCAATTTGAAATTTTTGTTGGTAGTATCAAAGCTACTTTGTGCTAGGAAATAACTATCCAGAGAGGGAGAGTTTTTCTTGCGCAAGAAGTAATGAGGTTCTGTAGCGATGCCTTGACCGTAATAGTGGAGAAGTTGTGTTACTTGAAAGTTCTCTCTTCTCGAATGTAGAAAGAATTTTGGTTTTATGTCATGCTCCGAGTATACTTGAAAAGCGGTTCTACTTCAGCAACATTTTTCTGATGATATACTTGGAATGTAACTAATAAGACTTGGATTTTCTTTTGGGGCAAGAAATAGGACCAATTTTATTTTTAATTTTTCGTTTCTTGCTCCGTTTGCCATTTTCTTCTAAATATCATATCAAATTAAAAAACTTCCCAGCGTAATTTTTTTCCAGTCTGACTAACAGAATTTAAAATTAATACGTGTCTGCTTTTGGTTTCAAAATTATAAGTACTCATTAAATTAGAACAAAAAAAGTAAATTTTAATCTATCTCCTTAAGTTTTATACATTAAAAAAACAATAAAAAAATAAAATTTTCTTTATTCATTTACTGTAGCTATATACTTATTATCACTATTCATTGAAGCACGGTTTTTCCCTTTTTTGTGATTTCTACGTCTTTCTCAGGCGGCTGTTAGCAAATTATACACTTTTACGCTTTAGTCCCTCATGTTTCCCAATTGTTTATTTCGATCCACGTTTCTTTTTTTGGGCTGAACAGGCAGTCCCAAGCATGGCTGTACGCAGCCTGCAGAAGCAGGCCCAAGTACCCAGGGCTTGGCTCTCTCACATGCCTGATCAAGCTGGCCTGGCCTAGAGCGGCCTTGCACAGGTAAACCCATGTGTGTGGACCTGAGCTTTTTTTGCTTTTTTCTTCCCATAATTTATTTTTATATTTTTTATCATGTAATTGGATATGAAAATTATAAAAAATATATCATTATTTTTTTATTTTTAATTATATTTTGACAATGAAGACATATATATGATATGTTTTAAGATTTTAGGTTGAACATATATTACTCTTATTGTTTAAAATTTATTTCTTCAATTTATCATTTCTTATAAAAAATCTTATAAAATTTATTTTTTATTTTTTGATATAATTTTATTTTTTAATATATATATATATATATATATATATATATATATATATATATATATATATGGATTTTGAAATAAAAATTTAGAGCATGAATATTTTATCTCCTTTTAATTTATTATTATAATTTATATGATGAATTTTTTTATTTTTAAATGAGAATGTGTGTGTGTGTATTTGAATCATTAGTTTTGTTAAAAATTAACCATGTATCTACACACATAACATTAATTATTTATTACATATTCTTTTTTATGTTCTAAAATCAATATTTTTTAAATAAAATAATTGAAATACTGTTTTGAAAAAACCTCCTAATTATTGAAATACAACTTTTTTATATTAATATTATCGATTATTTTGTTTATATATATATATATATATATGATTTTTCTCAACAAATAGATTCGATTTATACTAATCACCGTAAACAATACTTCTATTCACGCTACAACATGCAAATCGTTGACTCTATATACGTAACGGTTGCCCAACATCCGCATAATGTGGGCATCCAACTAATTATCTCTAATTCACCTTAAATGTCTAGTGTGATTCAATTAGCTCATGTATTTTTCATTGTTGTTATAATCAACCTCCATGTATTATTTTTGCTTCAATTGACAAAAATAAAAAAAATTAATTGAAAAAAATGGTAGTAAAATAAATATGATAAGACTTGAAAGGTAATGTTTTTCAATAAATACCCAAATTAATCCTACTAACTTCAACTCTCGTTAATATTTCAATAATTGCGTTGTTTGAAGCGGATGCTCGTTGGCAATAAGGCACATCCTGTCTTTAATCGTAAGGGGTCCTTTTTTGTTTCATTAACGCAACGGATCGTTCATTCCTAGGGAAGTGAGAAGGAGAAGTTATTGGCGGGATAGAAATAGTTTATTGACTCGACTAGATAAGGAAGCGATGTGGCCGAGCTTCTTTTGGACATAAGAATGTTAGTTTGGATCAAGAGGAGACTTCTCCACATGTTGTACTTCCCTTTCTTGTTGCTTGGAAACGAAGGAACAATGTAAGAACACCAATATCGCTT